CCATGTTATTTCATCTGTAAATATATTTTCATCTGTACAATGGTGATGTTAATAGCACTTATCTATTAAGATTGTTATGAGAATTAAATGATATATTTTATGTAATGCTTATAGCACATGGCAAACTAACAAATAAGCTTTTGGTTTTATTGGGAAAATAAACTGTCACAGGTTACAAATATTGCTCCTGGTTTTATTTTAGCAGTATTGGAACTTAAAAAAAATCTTATGTGTTAAAAATTGTTATCTTTATCTTATTTATTTATTTATTTTTGCGGTACGCGGGCCTCTCACTGTTGTGGCCTCTCCCGTTGTGGTGCACAGGCTCCGGACGCACAGGCTCAGTGGCCATGGCTCACAGGCCCAGCTGCTCTGCGGCATGTGGGATCTTCCCGGACCGGGGCACGAACCCGTGTCCCCTGCATCGGCAGGCGGACTCTGAACCACTGCGCCACCAGGGAAGCCCGTTATCTTTATTTTTATGGCTATTGTCTTTTAAGCAAACTTGGAGCGGGGTTTTCTACCCCAAAGTGATCAACTAGCTATTTATGTTTTCATTGGATATTTTTATGGATCCAGTATTTTATATTTAAATCTTTAATTCATTTAGAATATATCTTGGTATTTAGAAATTGAGGTGGAGATAACTGTAATTTTTAATAGAAATATAGGATATTCAAAATCAAAATGAATTATTACCCTTGTATGGTTAAATGACTTTTCACTTAAATATACTTCTTTTATCTAGCCCCTTATTCGTTATTCTGGCAAATTCTTAGTCATTCTTCAAGAATTCACTCAAACATCATTTTTTTGAGGAAGCCTTATTTCTGTTAGATTTTATATGAGATTGTCCGTCCATGAAGACAATATAGTCTTACTCAGATTCATATCTTCAGGACTTTCCACAGTATCTAAACATAGTAAATATGTAATAGTTTTTGAAAAGATGACTAGGTGTTTCTAAATAGTGCATTAAACGGTTCTGTGAAAAATGGATCCAGTAAATTGCCTGTAGATTTATCTTTTTAGTTAGTTGTGTTAAAGGTTGGTCCCTTCATTTTCTATTTGTTTAACATTCCTTTGTTTGATAGTGTTAACTTACCATGTTTAATTATCTTGAATTCTAAATTAGTACAGTTCAAAGTAACAAGACATTGTTACATAACAAGCAAAAGAGAGAATAATAGAGATATTGTCTGTGAGTAAGGATATGGATGATCATCCTTTAATTCATTGCTCCTATATTTGGGAAGCAAGTATCTGAATTATAATCTATTTAAGAAGTAATAAAAGCTTGTGTTCTACATAGTGTATGAATTGTCATACATTTGGTCTGAATCATATTTAAGCATTTGGGTTTGTGAGTTGAGTTTTTTGAAGTCTCATGTAAGCATGTGATAACTTAGGATTTTTCTTAATTGAAAAATTTAAAGTTCTCTGGGATGAAATGATGTGGCTAGTGAGAGAGGGAAGAATAAAAAAACATCCCCATAGTTTCTGGCCTAAGTCACTGGGGAGATGTTACCTTTTACTGGGAAGGTTTTTGGGAACAGGGTAAGGTAGGGTATAGTGATTAAAAATTATGGATTTTGTTTTTGAAATATTAGTTTTTAGATGCCTGTAATTTTTATAAGTTAAAGTATCAATTAGGCAATTCAACAGTACTAACTAGGAACTTTGAGATTTCTAGTCTGGGAATATAAATACATCAGTGGCAGTTTGGTAACTTCTGCCTTGGGAATGACAGTATCCTAGGGAATAAATACAGAATGAGAGGAGAGGGCCTAGAAACATCTTGAGATACACAGCATTTATTTTAGAGAATGAGTAGAGGATGAGGAGTCAATGAAAGAGACTAAAAAAGTGATAGTGAAGTAGGAAGAAAACAAGGAGTGGGGGATATAGGGGATGCTAAGACAGAGTATTACAAGAATGAGGGAAGCTTGAATGATGCTGAGAAGTCTAGTCAGGTAATGTTAGACAAGTACCCATTGGAGAGGCAACATGGAGAGGCAAGAGTGGATCTTTACTGGAGTGAATTGAATAATGAATGAAAAGGAAGTGGCAATTCTTTTAAGAAGTGTGCTTGACTATGCAATAGAAGTGGTAGCTGAATGGGAATGTGGGGTTAGTACAAGTGTGTATGTGTTGGTGTTTAAAGTGTGGTAATCTTTAAAGTGTGGTAGACTTCGCTTGCATGTTCATGGGAATGATATAGTCTAAAAGAGATTAATGATCTGCACTGTCCAATATGGTAGCTGTTTGCCACGTGTAGCTGTTTAAATTCACCTGAAATAAAATTAAAAATTCATTTCCTCAGTTCTATCAACCACATTTCAGGTGCTCAGTAGCCACATGTGGCTAGTGGCTACCATGCTGAACGGTGTAGGTGTAGAACATTCTACCATTGCAGATAGTTCCATTGGACACTGCTGTGTTAAAGAGAAAGAGGATAACCAAGGATTGTGACAGAGTGGGATCCAAAGGACCTGTGTGATTGATATTTACATTTGATAGAAAGAAATAGACTTCCTCCGTTGTAATATGAGCAGATCAGATAAATATAGTTTTGGTGGCAAGATAATCAGACAATCTCTTTTTGCCATTTTCTATTTTTGAATGAAATATTTTGAGAGTATGAGCTGAGAGTTTGTGTGTTGGATGTGGGCAAGGGGTGGAGAAGGACAGGTGGGAGAAGGGGGTTTGAAAGTACTCAGAGGAGGGATTCACTAGAGAGGCTAAGAGGACTGCTGGCAGTGCTGAGTCCCCATTTGAGGCTGATGATCAAGAATTTGTAGTTTTACCAGTTTACCCAGTTTTCTTTACTAGCACTCAGCTGCATGTGTACAGACATGGAGAAGATAAGTGTGTGTTCACCCAGGATTGTGTATTTGCCAGGTGACCGCAAGGGCATGAGAGGTGTAAGAGAGTTAGGGTATTAGCAAGGGAGTGATTATAATAATGATCTGTGGAATTATAAGCTAGATTAAAGAAGGAAAAATGAAAAGGGGTCAATGTGGGTAGTGGTGGGGCTGATGCATTGAAGTTTATGATAAAGTCAAATAGTTTTTGCCATGGGACACTTGACCAAGGCAGCTGGAAAGTTAAAAGGTTATTGTCAGGACAAGGTGTCTTAATTTTGCCTTTTTCTTAGTTGGGGGTAAAGGAGTAGGAGTGGGAGTAGGGATAATGTTGTTTCTTGTGGGGATGGGCAGTTAAGGTTAGGATCTGACTATGGGAATAGGGGTTGTGGTTAAGGGATTTTGCGATCAAGATGTTGGATTGATTGTGCATGTTAAGATGTTGAAGTTAACTGAGAAAAACTGAGCCAGTATTCAAGTCTTCTGTGATGGAGGGGAAGTGACCAGGAGGTCAAAAATAACTTCAGCAAGGAAAGGGAGGAAGAACTAAAAGGGGACTAACGGTGACTGATAAAATGAGAGTGTGATGTGTATGAGAATAAAGAAAGGGTTACAAAGAGGGAGTGGCGTCCTTATTCCAAACTCCAGTCAATGTAGTTTAATACCTGAGAGGATATAGGTGTCGGTGGGTTAACACATCTTATGTGGGAGAATTGTTGGACTAAATCTGGTCAATAGCTGCCTATGTAAGGCAGTCCAGTGTTTGTTCTTTAAACTCTTGTTTTGTCCTGCAAAGCACTGTTTTTGCTTTTCATAGCTTAATTGTTTTTCTGGTATCTGGAGTTGTGGTTGAAGGGGTAGCTTAGGGTAGAACAGCTGTTTATAAGTATGGATCATTTGTAAATTAGGGAAAGCCTGTATATTTTTTGAAAGGGTCTTGTTCCTCTGCCAAAAGGTTATGAAAAGCACTGTTTTGGAGTCTCATACACCTGGGTTTACATACTGACCCTAAAATGAATTTGTTTTCTGAACTTAGATAGTCATAACCTCCCTGAACCTAAAATTTCATTGTCTATAAAATGGGACAAGACTGTCCAGAGGATTTTTGTGAGGATTTGAAAAACATACATCAGGCCCTTAATATGGAGCCTGGTATATAATAAACACTTAGTGTTAGTTCTGTACCTTAACCCCAGTACCTCTTATATAGTGTTTTTGGTGTCAGTTTTGTAGAATTCTAGTTTGTTTGGTACTGCTGATATTTCTCTATTTTTAGAAATATCTAAAGAAATATTTAAAGAAATCTTTTTGGAAATATTTAACAGAACATTTTATTAAAAAACATTCCTCTTAATTATCACTTATTTTAATGGCCAGATTAGAATGACTTGGTAAAATTGTCCTTTATTTTATAATAATTTTATTTTGATTTGAGTCACAAATAAAGTACCTTAAGTAAAGTGGTGCTCACCAAGACTTGTGTTCAACTGCAGACTCCATTGTGTCCTATTTAGTGATTTGAGGGAAATGATTTTTTTTAATTTATAATTTTAAAAAAAATCTGTAAAACTGCCCTTTACACACATATGAGTGGTGTGAGGATCAGACGATTTTCTCATGTAAAAAGTGTAGTATAAACTTGGCTATATAATGTAAGCTTTTATTTTTATGTCTCATGCTTTACATCTTCTTTTTAGTTATAAACGAGCACCTTGATATTGGACATAACGGTGTTTCCTGTTTTTGTTTTTTCTATATGATTTCTATTGATGCTTGAGGTTTCAGGTTCAATGACTTAAAAACATGCGATGGGGTTTACCTGGTGGCACAGTGGTTGAGAGTCCGCCTGCCGATGCAGGGGACACGGGTTTGTGCCCCGGTCTGGGAAGATCCCACATGCCACGGAGTGGCTGGGCCCGTGAGCCATGGCCACTGAGCCTGCGCGTCCGGAGCCTGTGCTCCACAACGGGAGAGGCCACAGCAGTGAGAGGCCCGCGTACCGCCAAAAAAAAAAAAAAAAGTGATAAAAACGTGCGATGTTTTGTAGCACCTTGTTCTCTGTTTAAATAGAGAACCAGATGGGAGTTCAAAATATAGATTTAATAACAAACTCAATTGTTTTTTTTTTTTAAACAGGGCTGATGGAGTTATGAGAACAATGAACACAGAAAAACTCCTAAAAACTGTACCAATTATTCAAAATCAAATGGATGCCCTTCTTGATTTTAATGTAAGTTGATTGCATAAATGCTTTTATAATTTGAAATTTTAAAAATTATATCATTTTAATTGGTCAGAGTTTTTATTCTTAAGTTATCATAGACTAATTTTTTCACACTAATATCCTATTTGCCTAAGGATTTTCTATAAGTGTGGTCCCAAATCAGATTACTTTCCATTTTTATAATTGTTTTAGATTTACTCTGATTTCTTTGGTGGTGCTTCTCTAACCTCCAAATTATAGGGTATACAAGCTAAAGAAAGTGATGGAGAGATGAAGAGATTGATGTGAAAATCTACTTTCTTTTGATAATGGTTTTTAGATATTAAAAATATAAAGATTTTCTTTATGATGAGCTAACTTAATATTTCACTTTTTGTCTGCATTGTAGAACTCAAAGCATGAGTTATTGAGAAATAAAGGGAAGTTCAAATATACTTGTAACAACATGTTATATAGCTATTGCCCAAGGATGTTGTGTTCCCTGGGATTTTTGTTTTAATGACTGTTACTTGAACCAAATTGCCAGCTTTGTCATTTGTTTGTAATATGTTAGGTGTTAGCATTTACAAGTCTTTTCTTTTTTGGTGCATCTAGCTTAAAGGCATTGTATTTTAGAGCTTGTAAGTGCAAGTTAGTGATTGGAACTGTGACAGTTTTATGCTGAAATTGATTTTCCTTTAATGGTATGCTATTAATTGGTAGTCTTAAGCTTCTGGAGGGCAGGGACCAGGTCTTCTTTTTCCCTGCTGTGTCCCCATTGTCAGTAGTGTGTGGCACATAGATAGTGTTCAGTAAACATTCAATAAATGAATCCTGAAGGTGCTTTATAGACTAGAACAGGTTCTCAAACTAGTATTTTTTTTATAGGCTTGTGAACTGAGAACATTTTTAAATGGTTGCAAATAATAAAAAGAATATTTTTACATTTTTAAATAGTTGCAAATAATTTTAAAAACATATTTTTAACAGGTGAAGTTTATTTTTCAGTGTCCACAATTGTGTTTTTAGAACAGGCTCATTGGTTACATGTTGTCTGTGGCTGCTTTTTTTGATGTAATAACGGGATTGAGTAGTTGTGACAGAGACCATATGGCCTGCAAGCCTAAAATACTCATGATCAGGCCCCTTACAAAAAAGTTTGCTGGCCCCTAGTCTAGAAGACAGGGGATTAATGTAACTACTGAGCTTTATTTTGGTTTTTATAGAGAAAGGGTCCAACCATGAATTTTTTTTTCACTTAATTTATTGTGGGTACCTTTATAAAATTGCATATTCTTTTCAGTGTCTATTATACTCCATTGTGTGTAACAACTTATATGATCCTCCTGTTGATAAATATTTAGGGTATTTTGGTTTTTTAATTCAGAAAATAAATGGAGAAAAAAAACAGAAGAAGGAGGGACACTACATACTCGGTGTGTGTTAGATAATAGTGTATCTACACATTTATAAACCTATTCCTATGGGGTTAATGCCTAGAAAAAGAATTTGGTGGTTCAAGGACATAAATTTTTTTTTTTTTTAAGGAATACTCACTTATTTATTTTGGCTGCGTTGGGTCTTCATTGCTGCGCAGGGGCTTTCTGTAGTTGGGGCAAGCCGGGGCTACTCTTCGTTGTGGTGCACGGGCTTCTCTTGTTGCGGAGCACTGTCTCTAGGTGTGCGTGCTTCAGTAGTTGCCGAGTGTGGCCTCAGTGTTGCAGCTCACGGGTTCACTAGTTGTGGTGCCCGGGCTCAGTAGTTGTGGCTCATGGGCTGTAGAACGCAGGCTCAATAGTTGTGGCACATGGGCTTAGTTGCTCTGCGGCATGTGGGATCTTCCCGGACCAGGGATCAAACCCATGTCCCCTGCATTGGCAGGTGGATTCTTAACCACTGCGCCACCAAGGAAGTCCCAGCATTTAAATTTTTAAGAAATTTAAATTTTAAATATTGCCAACTTAACACTCCAAAAGGGTTAAGCCTGTCACTTGTCAAAGGTGCCTGTTTTTCTTCATCCTTACCTGTATAGAATAATACCTTGGTTTTGATTATCTTGATACCTACTAGTCTGGTGCTCAGGAAAGGATAGTTCAGTAATTTAATCTGATTATTTTAATTTACTTGATCAATGAAGTTGAACTTCTTTTCACATGTTATTAGCTATATGTATTTTTTATTTTGTGAATTGTCTTATAGAATTCTCTCTATAATGGAAGTCAACCTTGTCAGATATTCTGCAAATATTTACCAGTTGGTTGCTTACCATTCAGTTTTGTGCTTATATTTTTCTATACCTAACAAGGTAACTATCATGTACTTAGATATCTAAAAAGGAATTTAAGATAAATTTGGTTTATCCTTTTGATTCTTTCTTTAAGTTAAAGCTAAAGGTGTTTCTTGTATTTCTTGGTAAACAAATAAGTGCTTTTTTTGTTAAAGCATAATTCACTAATAATAATAAATATTGATCATTTATTTGTAAAGTACTGCATCAGGCTCTTTACTCTCAGTATATCATTTAATTCTCCCAGTAACCGTGTGAGGTAGAAATATTATTATAACCATTTTGAAGGTGAGCTTGTTTGTAATATTGGGAAAAGTTATATTTTTAAAAAAATATATATTCTGCCTAGCTTAACTCGTGCCTTGGTGATTGTAGTAGCCATTTAATAAATATTTTTTGATTTATAAATATTCAGTAAATTCTTCATGACTCAGAGTGAACTTCTACCTAGAAATGGGCTTTATTTTGCAGTTAGAAGTATTTAATGTTGAATTGAACTTAAAAGACTTTTGAGATGTAGCCTAAGAATTTCAAGAGTTAAAGGGTACTTTTGTTCTCAATGACTTATTTCTGAACTAAATTGAATGTTGAAGGATTTGTGTTTGTAGCTTTTAAATAAATCTGAACTCCTTGATCAAGATTTTTGCCCTATATGGCTATAACTCTGATTGCTAGAGATAAATGTCTTCCTCTCATACACCTAAATGTTTGAATTCATTGTATTTTAATTTGAAGGAAGTAATTGTCATTTTAAAACAAAACATTAGCTAATCTTTCTTTTTGTTTTTCCAGGTTAATAGCAATGAACTTACAAATGGGGTAATAAATGCTGCCTTCATGCTCCTGTTCAAAGATGCCATTAGACTGTTTGCAGCGTACAATGAAGGAATTATTAACCTGTTGGGTAAGTATTTCTATAGTTTAATATTTTATTTCTTATCTTGTGTCATATAGTAAATAATATTGTCTAAGTTGTTACTTAAAGCTGCCTAAAAAATCTACTGAGATATAGTCATTAATTGTAACAATTCGGAGAAAAGAATTTTATATCTGACTACACATGCTAATGATTAAATACTTATACAACTGGAATGTTCAGCTAGATGAATTTTGTATTTTTTAGATACATCTTTTTTTCTATCAGTTTTATTATTTTTAGAAATACAAAAATTTCATAAAAATTAAGTTGGAATTTTCTGTCTCAGGAAAATCATCTCCTCACAATTTACTCCAAAATGAACTTCAACTGTAAAATTGGTATTTTTTCTAAACTTAATTTTCAGATTGCTAATTATTTTAAAATAATTAAACATGCATTTTTAAGGATGCTTTTGACTTTTGAGGCATTTCAGGAATGTGGTGCTTTACTGTGTATTCAGTATATATGGAATGCAGTTAATTTCGCCTAGAGATGCTAATTTTTTTAATGGGATTTGGTTGTAGTAGACAATTAACAGTCTGCCAAGTGTGCCAAAGTATCAAGTGTCAGATGTCAAATATTCCGATGTAATTGTTCTCCCTTTTCAGTACTTTTTGTTTTTTTAGAATTTATTTAAATTTGTTTTTCATAGGCTGGCTTAACACAGACTCATTCAGGGATGCTTTAATCTATGGAGATAGGGAAATAGGGTTGTTTTTTTTTTAACAAGTGAAAAATGGAAAGTTTTCTTTTCTACAAAGTTTTGGAAGGCATAGTCTCCCACCCTGTGATTGGTATAAATTAAGCTCTTTACTGCTGTTTATATATTAAGTTAAATGAGCTTTCCAGTGACATTTGGACGTGGAAAAGTTGCCATCTTTCTTTTTTTTTTTTTTTTAATTTATTTATTTTTGGCTGCATTGGGTGTTTGTTGCTGCGTGCGGACTTTCTCTAGTTGCAGTGAGCGGGGTCTACTCTTTGTTGTGGTGTGCAGGCTTCTCGTTGCAGTGGCTTCTCTTGTTGAGGAGCATGGACACTAGGAGCGTGGGCTTCAGTAGTTGTGGCACATGGGCTCAGTAGTTGTGGCTCGTGGGCTCTAGAGCGTGGGCTTCAGTACTTGTGGCTCACGGGCTTAGTTGCTCCGTGGCATGTGGGATTTACCCGGACCAGGGATCGAACCCATGTCTCCTGCATTGGCAGGCGGATTCTTAACCACTGCGCCACCAGGGAAGCCCCCATCTTTCTTTATCATTAGTAAGAATATTTGGAAATAGATGTTAGCACTGTTTTAAATGGAGTCAAATGTGATCTGTATTAACATGCAGGTATATATTTAGGGAATTGTGAGGGAAGAAATATTGTAGAACATACTAGTAATATGAGTAAAGTCATAATTTCTTAATTTTTAATATAACGGCATCTCTATTTTAATTTGCTTTAAATATCTAAGCTTATTTAACACTTTTTTCTGTAGGGTGAATGTGTTCTCTGAGACATCAATAAAGTCTCTTTAGAGCTGTTTTAAATCTTTTTCCTTTTTGAGTGTTATATTTTGAAGTAAATAAAAGTATATTTACATCTACTTTTGGCAGAAAAATATTTCGATATGAAAAAGAACCAGTGCAAAGAAGGTCTTGACATCTATAAGAAGTTCCTGACTAGGATGACAAGAATCTCAGAGTTTCTCAAAGTTGCAGAGGTAAACTGTCTTTAAGTGATTGTATCTCTTAAGTTGCTTTTTTTGTCTTTAAGTGTGCATTTCAAAGAAATCAGTCTATATCCAAGTGAAAGAAGTGTCAAGTATAGTAAGGTATATATTCAATTATATCACTATGCAATATTGAATTCTGTGCTATGGTATGAATATGATATAATATTGAATAAAAAATATCCTGTATATTTAATTCAGTATTGAATACTGAAAGGTAATCTATTTTTAAATTGTTTATTTCTCTATAAAATCAAGTAGGTGGCAGTGACTTTTATGTTTGGAATTGGCCATGTATTGTAGAAGATTTATTCTATTCAATATGGTAGAGAATATTCTATGTTAGTGCAAGTCTCTTCTCCAGCCAGAGCTGCAGCTGGAGCCACATGGTTCAAAATGTTCCCTTCGGAAGTGAATATAGTGCATTTATTGTTTGTCATTGATTATGAAAACCATGAACGTAGGTTATAGGATAATCTAATTTTACAAATCTGTTTAAAAAATAATTTTATGAGACTGTCACAGAACGTAGTTGTGGTAATGCTTGTGGGCATTATCTTGCTTGCACAGAGGCAGCACTTGAAGTGTTTTTGTTTGTTTTCCCTTTCTCTGCCCTCTGTGCATTACCGCCAGAGGTGTCTTGCTAGGATAATTCTAGAAGATGAATAGACTATATAACTGATTAATAATATCAAAGTAGTTAATCTGAAACTAGCAAGTTGGTGATTCTAGCTCCATTACCATAGTGATGTTTTATTCTGTAGCAGATGGAATAGGATAGAAAAGGATGATGAGACCTTTGAAGAAAATAGCTTTGTGGTGTTAATCAGCTATTTTATGAAGTGTACTGAAATTTATTTTGGATTTAAAGTATCTCTCAAGGAGAAATCAATGGTTTTTTCCCCCCATTTCTTTAGGATCAGTCACATACTAAAACCAGAAAAAGGTAGTGTTTATGCTATGATTCTAGCAAATTCCTTAAATAAAGTTTTAGTTTGTTGGCTTTTCCCTTTGGCTTCTTTTGTTCTTTCATGAGGCGGTCTTTGGGCTAGCAATTTCATTATGAGACCTTAGTTCTTGAAGTAAAGACACAAATAACTGGGACTTCCCTGGTGGTGCAGTGGTTAAGAGTATGCCTGCCAATGCAAGGGACATGGGTTTGATCCCTGGTCCGGGAAGATCCCACGTGCTGCAGAGCAACTAAGCCCGTGCGCCACAACTACTGAGCCTGTGCTCTAGAGCCTGTGAGCCACAACTACTGAGCCTGCGTCCCTAGAGCCCACTCTCTGCAACAAGAGAAGCCACTGCAATGAGAAGCCCGCGCACCGCAACAAAGGGTAGCCCTTGCTGCCTGCAATTAGAGAAAACCCACGCGCAGCAATGAAGACACAGCGCAACCAAAATAAATAAAAATAAATGAAGTCAAAATGATACTTAAAAATGAAAAAAGACGCAAGTAACCTTTTCAAATGTGTTTGAAGAGGACAAATATATCAATTAGTGATTAGCTCTTAAGATCTTAGTATGAATTATTTTGTCACATTTTCTATTGCTATCATTCTGGGACTGGACCTTGAGAAGTTGAGAAAAGGAAGAGAGAATGATTCGAAAATGAAATATAGTCATATAGTCATGGGAGGGAAAAGAATTTTTAAATTTGGGTGTTGGAATAAATAGGAATGGTTCTTATCTTTTTTGCTAGAAATTACCTACTACCTGAACATCATGAAAGTGTATGGGGATTGCTTTGTGGGGACAGTTATATGCTGGTTAAATATCACTTGGTATTTGTATAAAACCTGACCTGCTTGAGTGAACATAGGTTTTAAAAATTGTTATCTGTGGTGATTGCCAGGGAAAGTATACTATATGGAGAGAGAGTCATTGTCATTAGGTTTGTTCCTTAACTTCTTCTTATGCCCCAGGGGACTTGTTCATGGTCAGCCTTTCTCATTCTTGGTGTAATGTTTTTGTCATAGAAGTGATGGATTTTTCAGATTGTGACAAGGTAGTTTATATAGGTGCTTAGAAGATGTGGAGATAGTAACTTAATAGCCTTGTTGAATTTCCAACTCTTGTTCCCCTCATGTTAGAACTTTTAGAGCCATCAGACAACATCTGAGTCCTTGGAAGTAACTGAATATCTGTGGGGATTAAATATTCTTCTAATTTTAAAGAATTCTTTCCAAAATATTGCTCATAGTACTAGTCATAAATGTCATTTTCTAAATTTTACTTATAAAACACCCTATTGTAATTTTATCTATTAAATACAATGCTGCTTCTTCTTACAGCAAGTTGGAATTGACAGAGGTGATATACCAGACCTTTCACAGGTAAGTATTGTTATAATACCAATCACTGCCTGCTATATTCTGCTAGGTATGAAGGGTACAAAGATGAATAACATGCAGCCCCTGCTGTCAAGGAGATCAGTGTAATTTTTCTTGACAGATTTTAACATTTTGATATATTGCTGACAATTGTTCTAACATTATTACCGTATAAAATTATCTTATACAGGATTTATTTTTCCTGTTTTAAACCTTCCACTTTGGCTCTTTGGCTCAGGTAAATATATTAAATGGGATAAACCTCAGAACATGATGTTGGGTTAAGAGAGCAGGCTTTGTCTAAGTTTGAGTCCTGGCTGTTCCACTAGCTGGCCCTGTGATTTGGAGAAGTTACTCTCTATGCTTCAGTTTCACCTCTAAAATGCAGATATTACAATACCCATCTCATTAGGTAGTTGGGAGGATTAAATGAGTTAACACCTAAAAAACATTTAGAGCATTAAGTACTCAATGTTAGCTATTATAGTATTATTTTTATCATCATTATCTTCTAAAAATTTCTGGGAAGGAAACTTTAAACCTGAAGTTCTGGCCTTTTCTGGTGTTTGTGTACTGAGTATTAAGAATGAAAGTACCTGGCATAAACTATCCTTATGTATCAAGGTTCTTACTTTTTTTCTGTGTACTCACTTGTTCTGGTTCATCCCTTTGATCACCAGGCTAAGAGTATGCACTAGATTTAGTTATGGATTGTATGTAAATAAAAAATTTCTGCATATGCCCACATGAGATAATTGATGTCATTAAGATTAAGCACATTACTGCAGGCTAAATGTGAGAAGAGTCATTGTTTGAACAATAGTAGTATAAGCTAATTTGGCAGTTTCAGATAAGCCATTACCCCATTTGTCATGTCAGCTTCACCTGTCTTTGTTTAAAAAGCATCAGCTTCAGGCCAGACTGTGATCATGTGTCTGTACTTTAATATTCATGGTATTGTGATTGGGTAGCGTTGGCCAGCCTGTCACCCTCCTCCGTCCCTCCCTCTTCATTGATGATCTCTGAATGATTCAGAAAATTTTCAAGTGAATTAAAACAAATCTTTTTATACTTAAGGGAAGATGGTAGTTAAACCCAAGAGAGGAAATTTGATATTATTTATTCTTTTTTTGTTTGTTATAAATTGCTCTTTTTAGGATGTGAAGCATCACATTTCCTTCACTCTTTGTAATGTGGGTTTGACTTTTAAAGAACAGCCAAGATACATTTAGAAGGGATTTGGGAAATAGTTTATTAATTATCATAACTAGGTAGTAGTTTAATATTTGTAAGCACAGCTTAAACCCTTCAGAAAAAAATAAAGTACAGTTTAAATGACCACAGTTTTAATTTAGGATTCTGTAGCATAGTAGTTAGTGTCTAGGCTTTCAGATTGGACAAACCTTGCACACTATGTTAGATTCCGCTATGTATCAGATATGTCATCTGGGACAAGTTGCTTAATTTTCAGTTTCAGGTTGTTTATTTGTAAAATGGATATGTAGTAGTGTCTTTCTCATAGAGTCAGTGACTACATATAAGGTAGCTTGCACAGTGCCTGTGGTGTTACAGGAGCTTTTTAAATGTTAACCGCTATTGTTAACAGTAGCTCTTGGGACAGTAGTTGGCCTGCTGATTTATTGGGGTTGAGGGAGTGCACATGTGTTCTCAGATCAACAAAGAAGTCAATATTTTCTACCATATCTTTCTTGTGCTAAGGTCTTGATATGTAGAGAGAAAATAAAGGATGAAGGAAATTGTTCAGGTCATAATTGGCAGAGAAGTTGGCTAGTATTGTCTCTTGCAACTGCTTTTGGATCCCTGTAACTGAGAAACTCTATCTGAAATCCTAAAGAATATTTGATGTAAGTGAATGCCACTGATGTATTTGCTTCACTTAAAAATAGTGAAAAATTCCTTTTCAACTCACAGAAAAGATTTCCTTTTGAAAGTAATTAACTGTTCATATTAAGTTGAGATTTGACATATAGACTGAAGGTTTAAAGCTAGTCTTTAAAAAAAATTGAGGTAAATATCTATTTGAATGAAGATTGATAACCATTAACACTTGTGTAATCAACACCCCATTCAAGATATAAATCAGTTCCATCACCCCAATCCTCCTGTCCCCCTCCAGTCACTCCCTAATCCGCTCCCCACAAATAACTATTTTGAATTTTAATAGAATAATTTGTATCAGATTTTGAATTTAATATAAATGGAATCATGCAACTATTTTAATATCTGGCTTCTTTTGCTCATCATAATGTTTTGAGATCTGTCCATATTGTTGAATATACCATTGATTAATTCTTTTTAATTGCTGAATAGTATTCCATCATGTCAATTTACCACAATTTTGTTTATCTGTTTTCTAAATTGGAAAATTTGGAAATTTTTGGATTATTTGCAGTTTTTTAATCTATCATAAATAAAGCTGCTTAAAACATTCTTGAACAAGTCTTGTGGAGATAACATTTGTCTCTCTCTTGAATAAATAGCTAGGAATAGAATTGGGTAGTTAAGGTAGTTGTATATTTATTTTTTTAAAAAACCCATAGCTTTTTTCAAGGTAGATGTACTCCCACCAGCATTGTATGACAGTTGCATTTGTTTTATATCTTCATCAACATTTGATATTACTAGTCTGTCTAACCATTCTAGTGGGTGAGAAGTTATATCTCACTGTGATTTCAGTTTGTGTTTCCTTGATGTTAGTCTTCAGTTTCATTTGTTAATAACTATTCAGAAATAGTGTTTGGACATTTTCAGTTACTCAGTGAGTAGTTATTAAGTACCAGGACCATGCTCAACAGTATGCCTGATTTTTAGGGTTGTGTTTCTATTTAAAATTTAAATAAGTTAAGTATAGAAAATTCTAAGATTCTCTTAATGTTTCATGTTCACATAGTCTTAGTTTTTATATCTTTATGTTTGTTAATACTCCTTACCAGGTCATGCTTATGTAATAAAAATAATAGTGTCATTCTTAGGTGGCTGAAACTACACTGTTAATTAGATCATGAGGAATATACCTATTTATTTTTATTGCTCTCCTGTGTTAGACGATACTTGATTTATTTTGACGAAAGAAAGTCTTAATATTTGTACAATTTTAGGCCCCCAGCAGTCTTCTTGATGCTTTGGAGCAACATTTAGCTTCCTTGGAAGGAAAGAAAATCAAAGATTCTACAGCTGCAAGCAGGTACATTATTCTTTGTGGGGCAAAGAACAGTAGTGATGTTTCTGAGAAAGTAGATGAGTCTAGCTGAAGTTCCAAGTTATTGAACTTCTCTTTATCTTGATTTAACCATTTGTAAGTTGGTTTAATAATAGTATCAACCTCAGAGAGTTGCTGTTAAGGATTAACACATGTAAGTTTTGGGGGTAGTTCCTAATTTTCAGTAAATGTCAGCATCTGTTAAGATGATGGCAGTGAAAACTACGTGGTTTAGAATGGTGTTCATAGTGGCAGTATTTCTCTTAAAGATGAAATAAATAGGTTCATATGGTGTATTATAATTACAAGACACCTTTTTTACAGATTTGACTAACCCTCACAATAGCCCTGTGAGGTATGCAGTAGTAATTCTGGGACTCAAACCTAGGATGTCTGACATAAGATTTCATCATCTTTCTCTAATGCCATTTTATGGGGTTGACTGTGGACATATTTTAATCATTCTATTAGATTTTTAGCTGATTTCCAAGACCAAGACCAGCAAATTGAAAGTAATATACATCATCGCTTATTGACCTTGTAACGTGATTTTTGTGTTGGTTAGTAACTTGAGTAATTCTCATGTTTTCTTATGAAGATTTCCTTTTAGCAGTATGAAGAAGAAATTTGTATGAAGTATGATGAGAACTCTTGTTTTTGATTGTTGTTTCAGAGCTTTTTTTTTTAGCAACAAAATTTAAGTAATTTGTAAAGGAAAATGTCATTACTGGATTTTAATGCTTTTTAATTGCAGATTTGTTCCTTGAATTTTCTAGTAGGTTATTAGAAGTATAAGCCAAGTTATAAGGCCCGATTATTTGAGAAAGTAATGAAAAATATAGCCAAGTAGCTCAGGTACACCGATTTACCTCATATGTTTTTTAACATAAAATTTTCTGGGTTTCTTGTATTTCTTCACAACAGTATTACTCTTCCTTTGTCTTCTGAGTTATATCTTTATATTGGCTCATTTATAAAATTGATTTTACATAAAACTTAGTTTTTCCACTTGTGTGCTTAGAGTAGAAATTAATGGTGTTTGGTGTGTGAGAAAAGGAAAATTAATAGCAGTCACTGAGGAGTAGTTTCCTGTTAGAATTCTTTACCACACATGTTCATTTTGCCTAGAATTAATAACATTTGGGAATTAAATGTTGGGGTTTATGATCTGGATAAGGTTTTAATATAAGAGAAATGAGGTGGTTTGCTGTGAGTCCACCAGTAAGGGATGATGTATTGTGCATATATAATATGTTTGAAAAGAAAATTCTAGCTTGGCAAAAGGGTAGCAGACAGAAAGGGGGTGCCAGATGGACCAGTGACTGGAATGAAACTGATCTTCCTTTGAGAGAACCTCTGGGTCCTCTGGGAATGACATCTTTGGGTGTTATTATAAGGGAAACATACCTAGACATACTTTATTTATTGCTGGTACTTACGTTTTAGTATTCTGTAGTAGTACTGCCAAACCCAGGCTGTAAATTAGCAGATCATTTTCTATGAGAAATTCAATACTTTTTACACATCAGGGTTTTCCTAGAAGTATGTGAGCTCTTCTCTAATTGCATTGGTTCCGTACCTTGGGGCTTGGAAGAGGCAATGTCCCTCACCTTTACTGTGAACCCTCTCCAAAGTCTAACACTTACTTTAAAAAAATAAATGAATGTATGTGTAGATCAACTAATTTCTAATAATCCTCTAGGTCAGTGGGTAGAATATTTCATCTGAAGTATGGGTTTTGACTCCATAAGTTTAGTTCATAATTATGGTGCCTATCCATGGCTAGCTTGCTAGACCATTTCATAACCAATGAAATAAATGTTTGGCAAAAAACCAAATTACCTTTTTCTGATTATCCAAGGGCAACAACACTTTCCAATGCAGTCTCTTCCCTGGCAAGCACTGGCCTGTCTCTTACCAAAGTGGATGAAAGGGAAAAGCAGGCAGCATTAGAGGAAGAACAGGCTCGTTTAAAAGCTTTAAAGGTAGGTGTGTACATTCTCTTTATTTGGAAGAACAAGTATAGGAGTTCATAAAGTAACTGGGACTTATTTAATAAATATTTGTACAAATGGGGTGACATTCAGTAGTCTAATTTTTCATCCTGACATTGAATGACTGGCAAAACAGAGAATACCTTTCTGCTATCAAAACAAAATTAGAAAATGTTTTTTTTTTTCAGAGGCCATACAAACAAATCTGGTTTCTGGATTCCTTATGGTAGTTCCCTTTCTCAACAGGAACAGCGCCTAAAAGAACTTGCAAAGAAACCTCATACCTCTTTAACAACTGCAGCCTCTCCTGTGTCCACCTCAGCAGGGGGTATAGTGACTGCACCAGCCATTGACATATTTTCTACCCCTAGTTCTTCTAACAGGTAGGTGGAGTGGTTAATGATTACCTTTGAATACTTAGGCTTAAAGACTTCTAACAGAAATTTTGCAGAGTTTTTCAGGTTTAGTTTGATACATAATTTTGTAATCATAAATTCACACAAAGGAGGTAGTGATAAATGGTGGTAGTGGTATTATAGCTAAATATAAAGTGAAAAACTTTATATTTCAAATATTTAAGAAATGGGATTATGGCTAAATGATAGACTTGTACCAGTTGGAAAGGTGGTGGTATACCAGTTGGAAAGGTGGTGGGTTATCTCTGGGTAAACGTTTCATTGTAAAATTAACTATAGTTAAACACATTTGTGAAGTGTCTAATGGTTCAAGACCCTGTATATAACTCTTGGATATGTATGTATGATATGTATTTCAGGATATCCTTTCACTGGATGTTAAATGTTTTTCATTTCTAGTCTCTGGTGTTAAACTCAAACTCAGTAATCTGGATCACAATAAGAGTTTAGTTGCCAGATTTCTGTGGTATTGAAGCCTACCAGCCCAACTTCAAGCTGGTTAACAATAGGAATATTATATTTCCAGGCAAATTAGAATAACTGGATTTTTCTAAATTCCTCCTATTTTTTACCTCAGAGTGGTTTAGAGAAATTTGAAATTCAGATTCTGGTTTGAATCCTGGTTTATTTCTTAATCTTTTTTTTTTTTTTTTAAACCTCAGTTTCCAAGAAAGATAATAGGTCAGTGGTTCTCAGTCTTTACCTAACATTAGAATCATCTGGAGGGTTTATTAAACCACAGGTTTCTGAGCCCCACCTGCAGGGTAAGGCCCAAGAATTTTCATTTCTGCCAGGGTCACAGGATCACTAGTATAGGGTTTAACACAGTGCTTAGTGCATGGTCAATGCTACATAGAGAGTGATGGGGTGTTTTGTTTGCTTGTGTTTCTTTGATTTTGTTGTTGCTGTTTATTTTATTAACTCATCCTTAAACGGTCTTCCCTTCCACCTACCAACTCCCGTCACAGCTCAGTGTAACTTTTACTAACTCAGCTGCTACCTGCTCCCTGAAGTCTTAGTAGATGTTGAATTTAGCTATGTGGTTCTCTTTCAGCTTTATCTTTTTGTTTGTTTTGATTTTTGTATAATACCTTCCTTAGTCCCCAATAACACTGAACCATTAAGTGTCAAGTTTTTCACTTAGGGACCTTAAAAAGAAGTCTGTCTTAGTAGGGTGGGGGGATGGGGGTAAATGGAAAAGAATGTTGACGGTTTGAGGATGAAACAAATTATTAGATAAAGAATTAATCTTTTTATTTCACTTAATACCCTCAACATTTTCACCTTTTTAATAGTAATTGAGGACAAACCTACAGCCTATTACAGAATGCTTATTGCATATTCTGTATTTTTCCCCAAAGCACTAAATGCATTTGTATTTTGATTTATCTACTTATAAAACTATGTTTTACATCTGAAAGATATGTCTTCAAAACTTTTGTTTTTGAATAAGTGTAAGTTAAAAGTAATCTATGCTGAGATATACATAATGCCTCAATTCATGGAAACTGGGATCTTTTTTTGTGTTGTTCCTTAATCACGTAACACGAAATATATTACGTAAGTAGTACTCCCCTAGAGTTATGTAATGGGGTGGCTTTGTTATAAATTTATATCATATATGCATGTATAAGTTTTTCCATGTATTGTTGATATGTTGTTTGATATTTGAAGCAATAAAGGTAAGATTAACAGGTATTTTACTTTGTAGGGGTATTGGTATTGCAAATGTAATTGAAGTATTTTTGAAGATTAAGAGTAAGAAAACAAATTTCTTTTAAAAAAATTAATTGCCATGACGTTTCATATTTTAAAATTATGTTGTTATGGTTCTAGGTTCTTTTCAATAAAGAAATTAGTTTTTTCCTGGGGAAGTCATTGATTCTTTCCAGAAGGGCTATTATTATTTGAATCCTATGTAAACTTAAGATATGGTACTTGAATAATTTTCCAGGCCTCTTTAGAAATATGCTGTTACATGAGGGGTATGCAACTGTTTTCTTGTTGCACCTGTTTTTCCTTTGGAGATTTATATTATTGGGACTTTTTTTTCACTTTTCTTTTTAATGTTTTTATTTACTGGGGTGGATGAGGGGAGTGGCTAATGTAGCAAAGTTTATCTAATAAATAAAACATCTTTTCAAAATATCTTCCTAGCACATCAAAGCTACCAAATGATCTGCTTGATTTGCAACAGCCAACTTTTCACCCATCTGTACTTCCTATGTCAGCTGCTTCTCAGGTAGCAAGTACATGGGGAGGTAAGCATTAATGAACCTACTTTGTATGTTGTATAGGCATCTCCCTCCCCCATTCTGTGGGGTTTACTTGCCTTACACTTGATACATGAGTACTTGAAAAATATTAATATGACAGTGAAGTTGTTTTGCCCCTTGAAGACATTTCCATTCATTTATAAATGCAATTTTGGAATGTATGTTCAATTAAATTATGAAATGAAGTTTAATGAAGATGAAAAAGACCAAATGTATGTTTAATTGTGAAATCATTCTTTCAGTGTTGAATTTCTGTTCTATTACCCAAAAATGTGTAATGGTTATCTTACCTTTGGTATTGAAAAAAAATTTACTTGCAGAGGGGAAAACTCATCTAATAAAGTTCTAATAAAATTCGGATGGTGTTATCAGGCAGTGCACTATCTTCTCTGCAGGAATGTCATGACAGACTTTATGCTACTTGTATTTAAAATGTTGATTTAATTCAGACCTGTAAGATTTTGGTATTCAAAGAATTTTTCCCCTAGTACCAACAGGAAAGTTTGCTGACCTTGAGTAGTTCTTTGATCTTAAGGTGACCGTATTATGATCATGACCTGGCATCTTTGAAGGAATGAGCCTAGTCCATGTGAGGTTTTAAGCAGTTTTGCTTAGACATTTAGTATGTTTTCAAATCATTTCCTTTGTTTGGTTTTGGTACTTCTGTTTGTTTTTATGTAAGTATCAATATTATTTTATAAACACTGAAAAATTATTTGGGAGGGAAAGATAACTCAGAAAGGACACTGTCTAGAGAACCATTGGAGAATGGCAAGCTACCTTAAAATTTATGTTGGCTCACATGTAAAATCTGAATTGACTGGCTTACTTCTCATAGCAGGATTCATTGTTCTAGTGAGTTTTTATGGTGTATTAGACTTTTTCATCTTTATTTCAATGATTTGAGTTAATAACTTTTGGGGGGTTTTTTAATAGTTATTTCTTAAGACTATATTTTATATAATAGAATTTAAGCTATGTGAAGGGAAGAGCTCTAAAATATTTTGTTGAGTGATATATCCCTGATGCCTAGAACACTTATTGATATATAACATGTACTTTGTAAATATCTGTTGAATGATTAGCCTTTTTCTTTTTTGGGGAGGCAGGTTATTTATGGTTCAAGACAGGGCAGGGAACAGGAATAGTGAAACACTAAAATACTAGCTTTTTAGACTAATTTTGTGAGCCATAACTTGATTTTTAAAACTAATTGATTTTGAAAGCTAGTTTAATTTAGCTAAATCTTAAGATCTGGGAGTAATTTCTAAAAATGATAAGCTAGTTTTAAAGTCAGTAAATATTTTAGAATTATTTATCTGAATGATCTGTAGACAGCAAATTAAGGTTAAGAAAGCAGTTTCTTAATATCCTAACGGTCATTACAATTTTAGGATTTTTAATCTGCCAAAATTTACATGCTTATTTCCTGCTTATTGTGAATTGCTTTAGGAAACATTAGTAGGATTAACGTGACTGTTTAAGCAGTTTAGCTTGCTCACCTTTTAAAAAAACAAACCAGTTTTTCTAAAATTAAGGCTGAAAAGTTGTATTTTTAGATAGATGAAAAATTTTACAGAAGGCTTAATGAGGACTAATATAACATTTCAATGAAACTGAACTGTGAAATTATTTTGTCTGGATACCATGTACAATTAATTCTAACAATGACAAAGTTTCTGCTTGGAATTATTGAGCTCATATATGAAGGCAGATAGACTTACTGTGGGAGAATAATTTTAAGTAATTTCAGCCTGTAAAAATTGTTTTATATTCTGTTAGAAGAAATATTCCATGGCAATTTGTGTGTGAATACAGTGTGGGAGTACATTTAATCATGATTTCCTTTTCTATTTTAGGTTATTTTGGTTTATGTACTATTTTCATCAAAATTTCCCCCATATTTTAACATTAGGCTTGCTGTGTCCAAGTGACACTGTTAAACTGTTTAAAAAAAAAAGTACTATCAAGTATAGTTGAGAGCAGAGGCAGTAGCAACTGACTACTATTTTTCCAAAAGCTTACAATTATATATGAGGAAAGGACAGTGATCTTATATAAACCCCTCAATTTAAGAAGAATCAAATCTTGTCTTATATTTCATATAAAAATATTTGGCTTCTGAGTTGGTGATAATTTCAGTTTTGACTTCTGCATAATTGGATAGTGGAAGAGTATTTTAAGCCAAGAACTTTGAATACTTACTAATTTAGTCATTGTATTGTTCATACCATGACATTCAGATTAAGACTTTTTACTTTATTTTTAAAATTAAAGTTACTAAGATAAATAAATAAATCTTATATATAAAAAGCTTTGATCATAACAGTAAATTTTAAAAGCCATTTTTTTGATGCTGTCTACCTGAACATTTGAAATATGTAGCATTTTACATCATGCTTTTATAGTATGTGACAAAACAAAGGTATGCTTTTTTTTTTGATAATTCTAAAATCTTATTCTATGTTTTCCTTGTTCTCATTTGCTAAAAATGGATGTTAACAGATTTGGTATTTAATTTAGTTTTTATCATAAACACCACAGAAACGATGTGTATTCCCAATCACAGCTAGGTTAGTGATTAGAGTTAAGAGGAGGTAACATTCGTATGTTTAATGTGAGAGGCATTTTAAGGTTCCACCTAAAAATGAACACTGAAGAGAGAGAACACAAGCTCTCCTGTTTCTCTCATTGCATTATTAGTGAGCCTTTGATTTTTCAAGAAATGGTGTGGCATCTAAACAAGCACTTGGTGTTGAATACTAATATCTTGAGATACCAGTTTTCATCACCTTGAAAACTTTGAGTTACAGCAAATCTAAAAATATACAGTATTACCAGGTTAAGTATACTGTTGTATATTTTAAGCAAGGTTTCAAAATTTAATTCAGGCAAAAAAGAATGACCCTTTCTGAAGTTGAATTTGTTTTAGTCTCAGCTGGCATGAGACACACAACACTATGAAAACACTCAATTTTCTGTGAATAAATGTAGATATCAAATATTTACTTCAAGACTGTAATATGACTGGTACTATTTTTGTTTTAATTTTTTGGATTATTTTTCTGTGACTCTAACATAAAATTAAACTTTCAAGTGAATAATGATAAAAATAATGGAAAAAAGTATTTATTAAAAGTGTAAGGAAGTTTAGAGTTGCCAGTCTGATAAGTACAGTTTAAGTTGGAATAGCTGGAACATTATTACTATTTTTTTAATCTTTAATGAATTTGAATTAATCATTTATGGTATAGTAGACTAACATTTAGATTTAAAAATCATCATCTAATCTAAATGATGTTAATCTGCTACCCATAGTAGTAGTGTTTTGTCAAGGTAGATTAAGAGCTGGTTTTTCTTATTGTCTGACTGATCTAAATATACAGATTCACTTATGCATTTCTGCATATTCTTCTTTAGGATGTTTCATATAATAGGAAATGATTGATATTAAGTGCTTAGGTAAAAAGTGTCAATCAATAAAATAGCAGATAACTAGTAACTTTTTCCAAACATGTCTTTTCTCATGAACCTAATAGATCTGTTGTAGAAATATGTGTACTCTTTTTGAATGACTTCTCTCATGACTTCTTTTGCATGGAAAACCAGAGAGAAGTTTTGTGTTACTTGTCCAACAAAGTATGATGTACTTTAAAAACTCCATGCCTCTATCAAATATTTAAAAGTAGTACTTTCAACCAAACTGGTCAACTCTAAACTTAACGCAACTCCTTTCTTATACAAGAAGGAGTTAGAGCGGTCATCATTACATTTTTATTTTAGTACAAAAAAATGAATCTTGTTTTTGACTATTTTCTGCTTTTTATTTCTGAATTATTTTTTCTGATTCTCTTCCCCCATTGTTCCATTTATTGAGAAGTGGAGGGGTGGGAAAGATGTTTAACATGATCATTTGAGTTAGAATAGTACATCAGTGAGTTTTGATATGTTTGTAGGACTTCATACAATGACTTCAATATTATCCTGATATTTTTCTTAAGTTGCAGTTGCAGGATTTGTGGAACACTAGCTTTGAATTTATTGACTTTAAGGATAAAGTGTGCCTATATTGTTTTGCAGAAGCTGATCCTTAGGCCATTGCTTCCTTATTGTTTTATCATACAGTCTTAGAGTAAAATACAGTGCTTAATACTGTATTCTTAAGTAAGGACCACAAACTAGAAGAGGCAAGAACAGGCGCTGGTTGGAAGTACAGGAGTATCTTTTCATTTTTAATTGTGTTATAAGAGAAAAAATTATGACACTATATTTTCGCTGCTCTTTAGTTTTTCTTCTCCCCATTTACTTAAGGTATGATGAATGGCTTTCAGTCATTACAGTGACAGTTATCTTGAATGAGGTATAGGTATAGTAAATATGTGATTCTAAATTTGATAATAAAGTACATATTTGGTACCATTCTAGTAGGGAACAATACTTTGGTTATTCCTTCCAAATCATTTAGGCTTTAAAACTCATAGCTAGGCCTTCAAAGCTAATCCCAGTCTACTGGGATGGCCAGTCTTTTGTCTCTGTTCTTAATTTTTCTAAAATTCCTTTCCCATCATTAGACCTTTTCTTCATCTTTATTATTTTGTTTCCTACATCTGAACCCATACAAGAGTTTATATTCACACGTTAGAAACCCCTAATTCCCTTTGGCTTTTGAAATACTGCTTATTCCACATTTGAGTTAATTATTTATATCAATTATGTGAGTAAACATAGCTATGCCACCAGAACTGATACACTTCCACCTTGGGTGGGGAACACGGTTCAGGGTAGGTGGCTCTTTTATAGAAACATTTTTGTTCTTACATATCTTCTTTTTTAACTACATGACTGTTGGCTTTCTGATGTAAAGCAGATCTAGCCTTCGTATGCTACTGTTATGGACACATAAGTATTTTTTTCTGAGGGTTCATTTTAAAATATGTTAAATGCATTTCTTCTATCTTGGTGATTAGATTTGATCATTTGCATTTAGATTAATAATAATATAGCTACTACTTTTCACTTTGCATCTTTTGACTGATTACAATACTAATTAATTTACTTCCTTTCTTCATTTTGCTATAATGCACTTGGACTGCACAGATCCTTTCTCTGCTACTGTAGATGCTGTTGATGATGCCATTTCAAGCTTAAATCCTTTCCTCACAAAAAGTAGTGGTGATGTTCACCCTCCCATTTCTTCAGATGTATCCACTTTTACTACTAGGACACCTACTCATGAAATGTTTGTTGGTAAAGTACCATTTAACCTTTCTTTCCAATTAATGTTTATACTGCCTAAGTATTTTTTTTAACGTGTCCATTATTTTTAAAGCACTGCAATAATTACTTTGTATTTTAATAACAAATTTTTAAGTAAACTAAATAGCAGTAGTGTAGTGAGATTTTTTACACCAGTATCCCTAATTTTATTTAATGCAAGTTTTTAGGAAAGAAAATTTCCTTTGAAATTGGACTTTGTATTGTTCTCTATCATACTGTAGCATCACGTGCTACATCCTGTTTATTAGTTCAGAGAGGTGATTATTAGGAGAGTTGATTGAAGGAGTAACATCTCTTAAACTTAGTTACGTATTTATGTGTGCTTACATTTTTCCCTCTGTGCTTGAGAAAGAGGGTGATTATCACTCTTAGTAGCTTTCTGAATCTTTCCCTTTTTTCCATTTTTAATTTCAAATAATGGTACAACTTTATATTGTCTAAAACCCACTATACCCTCTGTCCAATCTTAAAGGTCTCATTTCATTGTTAGCCTGGGGTCAAAAGTAGAAAATGAAAAGCAACTTGACTGAATAGCCTTAATTGTGGTATAAAAATCTGTAAAAAGGCAAAATTTCATACCAAAGTTGTACAAGGAAGAATAAGTTTTTAAGTACATACTAAACTGAAATAAATGTTTTTGAATCCTGCTAAAAAGATGCTAAACCCCCTTAAAAGATGATGAGAACTGCTTTTATTCAATTCAAAGAAACAACGTAAGGTGACACAAATTTAAATCTTTGATTAAAGCAGCATGCAGAAAGTCATCTGTGTACCCTAGGTAGATCACGTGGCCATATTCTGTTAGATATATCTGAGAGAGGGGAGGATGGAAGGTGACTAGAAAGCAGTAGTTGGAGATCTGAGAAAGTTTCAAGGCAGGTGCTCCAGTTATACAACTAGTCTAATAGTTCAAAAGTGTAATATTTGGTTGCAATAATTCCTTTATTGTAGTACATTTAAAAATTATATAAAAAGTAATTGAAACTAAATTATACATTTTGTTGCTCTAGAAATCTGTCAAATGGAGTGCCTTTTTGCTTGGTAATAAGGGGTAACTAGAGTTATCTTTGGAGTGTTCTGTTGGGGTGGTGGTTTTTTAGGTTTATCTTTTCTTCATATTTACCGAATATGAATAGTCTGTATATTGTAAATATGGCTGTTTGTATCTTTTTAAGTCAGTTGCCTTAATTTGGGGATATGAAGCAGATACGTCTTTGCTTTGGGACTATATATTTAGATCTTTTAGGTCAGAGCGGTGCATGGGCTTCAGGATGTCACATCTGTATCCCCTGAAGGGGGACAGAATGGAGGACAGTAACCTTAAGTGCTGAAGGTTGTAGGTATTTCACATATAAACAAAAACAGAGTAAAAATATATAAAAGTCATGTGAGAGAGTTAATTATTATTTTGACTTTTCAAGGAAAAAAGCCTGTAATAAGAGGAATATCCTAGAAATGTCATATTCCTAATGTTTTTTAAGTTTAAGGCCTATGATTTGGGGCAAGAGGAAGACCAGAAAGCAAAGCAGATGAGTAAAGTTGATGGCTATATACTCCAAGGTCAGTCGGTCCATTTGAAAATTAAAATCATAGAATTGGTGATTTAGAGTTTGCAAAAACCTGCAGAGAATGTTTGGTCCAGCTCTCAACTCTCACAGTGGTAAGAGAACATTTTTACCATTTTATGGCTGCATCACCTGAGTCCTAGAAAAGTTAATCAGGATAACCCAGCTAGTGGGAGCAAAGCCTAAATCAGGAGACAGCAGCTTTGCTCTGCAGCGCTCTTTCCCTTATGGAAGTGCAGACTTTCATTTAAACCCTTATCTTCCTCTTTCTGAGGGAGAATAATACAAATGAAAGTATGAAGTATACTTTAAAAAAAAAATCACATCTGCCAAGTTTTGTCATTAGAGAAAAAAAGCTTGTTAAATACTTTTCTTTTTTTAATGAAAATGAGTGCAGAAGGGGAAATTAAAAACCACTGATGTCAAACCATTAGGCATTAGTCTAGAATAGGGGTCAGCAAACTTTTTCTTAAAAGGTCAGATTGTAAATATTTTTGGCTTGTGAGCCACACGATCTCTTTCGCAGCTGCTCAACTTTGACATTATAGCGTGAAAGCAGCCGTAGACAACACATAAACACGTGAGCTTGGCTGTGTTCCAGTAAAACTTTATTTACAAAGATAAGCAGCTGTAGTTTGTTGATGCCTGTCCTAGAAGAGGGTTTTTAATAAGTCTTTCAATGCAAGTTGAAAGTTCCTGAGAAGTATAGTTGTGTAATAAAAATTCCAATACTTTCCTACTCAGAGTAGTAAGAGCATGAGAGGACCACCCAAGGTGTGCCATTCCTGGCACTGTATAGTCTAATTAGCCACTAGCCACATGTCATCATTTAAAGGTTAATAAAAATTAAATGTTAAATAAAATTAAAATTTTACTTCCTCACTTGTACTAGCCACATTTCTGTTCTTCGGTGGCACATGTGCCTAGTGGCTACCATAATGTACCATATGCACATATCTGCATATTGTGTGGATTTATAAAACATTTCTGTTATTAGAAAACTCTGTTGGATAGTGCTCTAGAACAGTGGTCAGGAAACTTTTGGTGTAAGGAACCAGATAGTAAATGCTTTAGGCTTTTATAGGATGCATAAAATCTTTGAGTCGTTTTCTTTTTTCTTTCTTTTTAAACATCCCTTTCATAAAGGTAAAAACCATTTTTAGCTCACATGGGCATATAAAAATAGGCCCCAGGCTGCAGTTTGCCAACCCCTGCTCTATAGGATTAAGAACAACCAAGAACAATCAGAGTTAGGTATGTAGATACCTTCCAACCCTTACAGGGGAGGACCTTGATTTGATGATACGATTCTCAGTGTACTTTGTAGCTTGTCCTCATTAAAGCTATAAGAATACTGAAATTTGTAAGTTAAGGGGAGTGGGTTGTGGTCTCAGCTATACCATGTTTGTGACCTTGTCTAGGCCTGTTCCTCATCTGCAAAAGAAGGCATTAGAAGACATGTTGGTATTGACTAAAAAGCCAGCTGGTTCATATTTCTTTATCTAAAGAAATGCAGTTTTGGTTATTTTTTAAAATTTGTTGTGAATATTATTTATATATATATTTTAAATATAGTACTTACAATGGAGGCTTAAGTGCTTTTTTTTAAATAAGTTGTAATTTGAAGAACACCAATGGCTTGGACTCCTCTGTTTTTTGTTTTGTTTGTTTTTATTTGTTTCTGTTTGTTTTTAATTACTCCATTCCACTCTTAACTGTTCCTCCTCACTTTCTCACTTTTCTCTTTCTCTTTTTTCTTTTTTTCCTGTCCTTTCTTTTCCCCCCTTATATGCCTTGTCAGATTCTTTTTGTGGTACTCAAGCTTATCGTAATACTACCCTTATGTGCCATGAGCCTTCTACTGTAGCTGGTTTATTTGGAGGTAGGTAACAATCTCTAAAATTTATCAGTTTATTTATGCAAGAGGGGTTTCTTTTTGTTGTTTTCCTTAAAATGAGTTGGTAAGAAAAAAAATACTTGGTTTTGAAGAACAGGTAGTTTTTTGCTTAATTTTGTTTTCCTTGATTAAACACGATTGTTTTATGAATGGATGCCTGTCATCTTCTTGCTTTTATTCATTCTCAAAACTTTCAAATTTTCAGAAGAGTTTATAACATTTTAATATTACAAGCTTATGGAATTTAAAGCTCTGTGTATAGATCTTAGTGATAGAATGGCAGATAATTTTGATTTGAACAGTTGTGGCACAGGTGAAGGGAGATTATACTGGAAAGAAGCATGCTTTTCCAGCGCTACGCAAAGGCCATAGAAATGGGAAGTAGTTTCCAGGAAGGTGTAACCAATTTGATCTGTATCTTTCCAAATATATTCTGTCTAGGCCAGTGCAGTAGCAATAAGACCTCAAAATCCAGCTGAATTTTTTTGTGTATAGGAGTTGTTACCTTAGTTAAGTTGGCATTAAAAAGTAGGTTTGACACAACTGAAGAACTGAGGTTCTTGACTGGCAGTAAGAATTAGACATGGTTAAAAGTGTTTAAAAATGGAATTGTTGAGGGCATTTAACAGAAAGAAAATGTTTGGAATACGGTGAACTTGGGTGTGAATTCCAGTTACACTCCTTTACCTGTGTGACTTTAAGCAAGTATTTAACCTTTCTAAGACTATGAAAATTGGGATAATAATGTCTTGCAGGATTGTTTTTTTTTTTTTTTTTTTTCCTTGCGTTATGCGGGCCTCTCACTGTTGTGGCCTCTCCCATTTGCGGAGCACAGGCTCCGGACGCGCAGGCTCAGCGGCCATGGCTCACGGGCCCAGCCGCTCCGCGGCATGTGGGATCTTCCCGAAACGGGGCACGAACCCGCGTCTCCTGCATCGGCAGGCGGACTCTCAAGCACTGCGCCACCAGGGAAGCCCGCAGGATTGTTAATGAGGTGTACATATATGCCTGTATAACATCTAGCACAATGCCTGGCACAGAATTATCATTAAAACTACTTGTATTGAGAACTATCTTGTGGGGACTTCCCAGGTGGTCCAGTGGTTAAGACTCCGCGCTTCCACTGCAGGGGCAAGGGTTCAGTCCCTGATCGGGGAACTAAAATCCTGCATGCCGCAGGGCGAGGCCAAAAAAAAAAAAGCAATTACCTTGTGTATGCAGATCATTTCATACTTGGAGTATACTTCTTATCTAAATTATTTAATCATCAGATATAATCTTGAAAACTCATTGTTTTTGTATTGCTGATAGATTTTTAAATTGCCAAGGGCTATTTATTTTTTAGCCCAGTATTTGCTGTTTCAAAGCTCAAGAAGTTCATAAAACTTGAAGAGTCCTGATAGATATAATTACTATAGCTATAATAATAAAAACTAATTTTCCTACCTACTAATTTATATAAGATGAAATACTCAGGATAAACCAAAAACCCTTAATAGATTCTGGAATCAAAGAAATTGCGGTTTAAGTCTTGATTCTGCCACTTACTAATTATTTTACCTCGGATAAGTTGTTTAATCTCTTAGTTTCCTTATCTGTAAAATGAGGATAATAATAACTGTCTTATAGTTTTATTGTGTGGTTTAAATAATAACCTATCTATAAAGCCCTTGCATAATGTTTAATAAATAGTAGCAGTAATTTTCTCAAAAAAGAATGAGGCCTATTTATTACAGAACTACCACCAAAATCTATTAAACAACCCAGCCAATTTTTCTTAAAGGTGTTTGGATTGCCTTTCTGTCCCAAAAGCGTTTTCATCTTGTACCTTTCAGTCACCTTACTATTGTCCTCTCAAGATTTGCCCTGTAGTACAGTGGTTTCTAAATGTTAATCTGTGAACTGGAGCTGTTCAGTGACAGAGTTTTCATTGGGCTTTGTGAAATGAAAGTTAGGCAGTTCAATGTAGTGATTATTTCATAAAATTAACCTTAACTTTGATAGCCTATTCATCTTTTTGGGGGGGGCTCCCTAAATCTGCTCTTCTGAAATGGTGATATTAATTCTGTAACTTTGCTTTAAGTAACTTTTAAAAATTGAAGATTGACAATCTAATCAGCTATTATAATTTATTAAGAATTTCCCTTTTAGTTTATTCTTCTGCTATGTAGAAGCTTTTAAAATTTGAGGTACTAGCTCTGGATTACTTTATATCTTTTCAAATCTTTTATACTTTTAGGCAGGAATATAATTTCACAGATTGGTGCCCCTAGGGACCTCAGGAGATGGCTCCTCTACAGAAAGTAATGAAGTTGTTTTTGTGTTATTATAAAGGATAGGCTCATCTCTGATATCAATCAAATTCTAGAAAGAATTTGGGACAAAATAGCAAGGGAAAAGAGAAATTGGTATGCCATCCTACTTTATAAATTATTGTTCCCTGTGTTTTCTAAAGTTTAATGATATCATAGCTCAGATATTATTTCCAGGATGATTTAAAGAATCCTATGTGTGGTGGTTTAGCATGGGCATATAATTAAGCATGATAGATTTTTGTCTTTCTTGAGTAGATACATCTGTTCTTTTTCTAAGGAGTTAGGAGAAGAACCATCAAGCCCATCCATGGTATATTTCTTAAGCAGTTCATACACTTCAAAGAGCTGTTAAATCAGTATATCTGTAGAATTCTAGGAGCCTTTTGATGAATGGTCAGATTTGTTTACTAAATTATTTTATGTTTTGATAGTGCTTGTATTCTCATTGTATGACCAGTGTCTTTGAGTTAAGAAAGGGTTAAATAATTATGGAATAAGATCAAACTTGTACATTTAAAAAATTTTGTGCCCTACAGAATATTCATACTATGATGTAAAATGCTACTTTTAAAGTAGTATCATTGATGTATACCAGCTTGTGTGGGTCATTGTTAATAATAAGTCATTGCTTTCTGGCTTCTCTGGCTTTGAGGACCTTCTTGAACTTCTCACCAAATCTTGTCCTACTGTTTGTTTTTCTTTAAGATCAGTCCTTTTAGTACAGCATTATTGTACTTCTTTATATCCTGGTGGTATACATTAAGAGTTCAAAGTGAGATTCTTACAGACTGAAAGTCCTTTAGCAGAAAGTTGGGACAGGAAGAGAGAGAGAGTCTATGTTCAGGGCTCAAAAGTTTAACTTCTCTTTAATGATATAGTTGTTAATCTTCTGATACCAGACTTTTTTTTATTTTTAACATTCTGACTTCATAGAATTTAGAAATGGAAGAGAATTCCGGAGCCATGTATTACAACCTTCCACAAAGCAAAAGAATTCCTTCTTTGTGATCTTGCTAGGCTGTTCTCTACTTGGATATATACTCAGTGATTGAAAGCTCCCCAAGTCATGTGACAGCCCTAATGGTTTTGATGATTTTAATTCTTCTTGTCAGCCTCTGGAAATTCAGAGCCTCACCTCACAAAATATACAACCTCACACAATTGAAAATCTTAACGTTTACCTCAGCATTGTCTGGTTTCAGCAACGTGAGCTGGATGTCTGTTGGCTTATTGCCACCACCATCAGTGTAACATGGACAGGAAAGAATAAATTTTCTGGTGTTTCAGAACAGTTAGGTAAATTAGTATATTTGATTATACATGTCAGCTCCACTTTTGGAAGTAGTTAAGTTGAAGCTAGAGGGTGGTTGGGTGTTGAAAATAGTCTGGGTTTTGTTTTTTTTTTAATATTCAAAACACATCTGGACACAAGGGGTGTCATAAGGATTAGTGGGTTATAACTTTCAGAATCCTGTCGCTTCTCAAATTAACTTAAACCATATAGCTTTTGATTAACCATCGAAGGAAGGAAGGGAGAAAGGAAGGAAGGAGAGAGAAATATGGAAGGTGAGTAGGTAGAGGGAGAAAGACTCTTGGGGGATACTAAGTAGACTCATATTTTTTTAAAGCACCACAGAATACTTATTTTATTCCCAAATGATCCCTTAAATTAAATTTGGCTTCATGCAAAATCCTAGAATTTTAGATGTGTTTGGTTTTTTAACATCAGCTTACAAGTTTAAGGTAAAAAATAAGCAAAAAATGTTATTTCTGTAATGAAACGAACTAGTAGTTCAACTTCACTTGCTCTTTTGTTAGTTTTCTTAGTGGGATGATTTTGTTTTGGAAAACGTAATCACAAGAGATGTTGTAGTCTAGGAAGCATTTTGCTTGAAGGGTTGGCTTTGTCTTTTGTTGTGGGAATTTACTGCTTTTTCCATTCTATCATTATTGTCATCATTATTAAAAAGCTGTAGATGTAGAGTTATTAAAGAATTGAGCTTTTTCCATTTTGGTTTTTCTTAGGATTCACTCCTTCTCCAGTTGCACAGCCACATCCTTCAGCTGGCCTTAATGTTGACTTTGAATCTGTGTTTGGAAATAAATCTACCAACGTTATTGTAGATTCTGGGGGTAAGAAAAAATTGCTTTATTAACATTACTATAATGTTCTAGTTTAGAGTCTGTGTAAGGACAGATAATGGTCCTTTTAACATGTGTAGATAGATGAAATTGGGGTAGCCGAAGAAGTGGTCCCTCTTCCCCCAGCCGCTAGAAGAAAGCTTCAAGGGACTGTTAGCCTTTACTCTTTTCTTAGTGGCAGTTTTGAATCTGGGTAGATTTTATTTCTCCCAGAGCTATTAAATAAGAGAGAAAAAAAGAGATTTTACTCAGATTAGACTGCCAAATTGCTAGGGACTGTGTGTAGAATGCTATACCTTTTACTCTAATTTTTACCTTTACTGAAATGAAATTGGCTTTTTTGAAAACTAGGAAAATATGACCTGTGGTACCTTGACTCGTTGAGGTAGTCTGTGTAATGAACAGCTAGAATAATTAAATATCAGAGTTGTGGGTTCAGGGGCTTTTTATTGTTTTATAGTATGCTTGTTTAGTCATCTTAAGAGAACTTTATAAAATCTGTAGAGCCAAGTTTCCATTTAACATCTTGGTAATTAGAAGTTTTGTAAAGATTGAGTTCCTGTAAAGTTGGCACCAAATTATATTCTTAATCATGGGGTGGTAAGTGTAGTAATTAAACTCAAGCCATTTAAAGGAATATATTGAGGTGTTGTTAATTTTATAATATACAATTAGTTATCATAAGTATACATACAAAAGTAACAAGCAAACTTATAAAGAATGTGTATGAACTAGAAATTTATTTTTTTCTGTGCACTAGTAGGTTTATAATTACATTTTTTGATGCATTTGACTTTTTCCTCTTGAGTTTATCTTGCTGGGAAAAAGGATAAAGGAAATAGAAACCAATTGTTCATATTTTATAAACCCCCATTTTTGATGACTTTCTTTTTCATATTCTCTAGTATTCCTGGGTTGTGCCGTTCAGTCCTTTGGTGGTTTGTTGATTGGATTTGTTTTACCTTTTACCATTTGGTAGAGAACCTTAAGGGATTTTATTTTATTTATTTTATTTTATTTTTTATTTTTAAGCAGGGTTCTACTTTACTAGATAGTTTTATGCAGTTTGAGTGTAGTTTAACTATTTCTTATGTATAATTTAGGCTAGCTGTTTTTAGACAGGAAAAGAGATAACCTAGTGGTTCATTTTCACTTGCTTCTAATATACTGCTTTACATATACCTTACATTCTCCACTTTGAAGAGTATAAAAAGGTCTGTAAAATATTATTTCTTAAAAGGAACTTTTTTTTCAAAGTTACAGAGATATATTTTTTACCTGTATTGCTTCAGGTATAAGTGAGTCTTCAGAAAATTTTGTCAGCTGAGGGGAAGGATTAATTCCATGCCCTTCTCTTTCACAGAGAAGGGATTTGAAATGGTGGATTTCTCCTTTTTCCACTTAAGAGCATTTATTAGTGCCCATTTTCCTGGAGGACTTCTCCAGTAAACAAACAAGGAGAGAAGGCAGAGACCTCCTTTAGAAAGCTGTAGCACCATAAAGTTCCTTACAAATCCTATTTCGTCTGTTTGTAACTTTAAGGCTTTGATGAACTAGGTGGACTTCTCAAACCAACAGTGGCCTCTCAGAACCAGAGTCTTCCTGTTGCCAAACTCCCACCTAACAAGTTAGTATCTGATGACTTGGATTCATCCTTAGCCAACCTTGTTGGCAGTAAGTATTTTTTGTATTCTTTAATCTTTAAAATAAGTTGTTTTATAAAAATTAGTCTAGTTTTTAAATGCTTTCTTTTTCTCCTGTCCTAGATCTTGGCATTGGAAATGGAACCACTAAGAAGTGAGTGTTCTATTTGTATTCTT